AATTTACATATTTCAAGTTGTTTTTTCTTTTCTTTTTTTTTTTTTTCTTTTTACATGGAAATACAAACAAACTGGAGTGTGAATGCATGCTTACTGTCAGCACCCATTACCATATTACTAAAAGGGAAAAAGGTATACTGCCTTGTTTGCCTTTCTTGAAACCAATCACAGTCATCATGGGCGATGCTGAGCCTGCAAAATATTGTTGGGAGGGAACTGTTTTGGTTTGGAAAGTTTGTACGTGGGTTCTTGAGCTCACCATTAAATTAAAAAATGACTAATTCACCTAAAAAACAAGTGAGCTTGCCTTTTTTGCATGATCCAGACCTTTGTCAAAACTTTCAGCACGTGGTGTGGTGCTCAGAGGTCGTGTTTCCTGCAACAAATGGGATTTTTAAAATGGTGACAGCGGAAAGAAAAGAAGAATGCCGTATTGAATGCACAGCGGGAATGGATAATGCTGGGGATACCACAGTCTACAGCCAGTGAATTAGTCTACAACAAAGCAGACACTCAAACCTCTTTCTGGACAAACACCTAAATTTGACAATGGGCACACAGAAATGCACGCATAAAGTTTAATAGAACGTCTTTTAAAAAATGACCCTTCTTTTAACCCCTTAACAGGGTCTAGTGAGGATATGTGATGCACTCATGTTTTGACTTTAATATAATAAGCAGGAAAAAACGCAGTTGTTGAAGTTGACGTATCGATTTACTGATTGTGTAAAGTGGGCTTCTTTGCCACTTATGTTAATCTAATATTGTGTGGTAAATGACAATTAAATATTCGTTTTCCAGTCTAGTTTTGAGGGGCCAGGAAACAACTTCTTCACTATACATTTAATAAAGGTCTTAATGACAACACCAGACAACACCAAGGGACATGTCTCCATCAAAATATGATTCATTAAATTGTGTGACACATATAACACGCCAGCTCATTCCAAGTAATATCTGCCCCTGTAATGCCTCTTGGAACCTTGATTAGCTTACTGTTGTAATTAGGAATTATAGGTCAGACGTGACCATACATGCATCTGAAATCTGACCACTTGTGGAGGCTCATTTGCATTTTTTTTTTTTAATTTCAGCCTGACTGCTCTATGGTGTTTAGAAATTAAGACAAAAATTACAAAGAGGCTAATGTCATAAACATGCAGAATTAGAGCATCTGGTTTACTCACCACCTGCTAAGAATCCCAGCATGAAACTGACTTCAGCAGGCTCACATTTCCTTTGAGGATAGTAGCACATGTTTAACCCTCATTGATTTACTTCCAAGAAATATACATATCACATCTGCACACATATTTATAACCATAATTATTCAGTCACACACACAAATATAAGCAGTTATGGCAGACCTTTTAAAAGAGAGTCCAAGTCTCAAAAACAAGTGGATCTGTTTCCTGGCAACAACTCGTTGCTGTAACGCTTTAGGCCCCACACTGTTTTTTGAAACTTTGACCTGAAAAACATTATCAACTTTAGTCAGGAACAGCTGCAACAACCTGGATCCAAGACACTCGGGAGGATTTTTTTAAAAAAAACAAGACTCCTTGTCCTCATCACTACAGGGAGTGCAGAATTATTAGGCAAATGAGTATTTTGACCACATCATGCTCTTTATGCATGTTGTCTTACTCCAAGCTGTATAGGCTTGAAAGCCTACTCCCAATTACGCATATCAGGTGATGTGCATCTCTGTAATGAGAAGGGGTGTGGTCTAATGACATCAACACCCTATATCAGGTGTGCATAATTATTAGGCAACTTCCTTTCCTTTGGCAAAATGGGTCAGAAGAGGGACTTGACAGGCTCCGAAAAGTCAAAAATAGTGAGATATCTTGCAGAGTGATGCAGCACTTCTGAAGCGTGATCATCGAACAATCAAGCGTTTCATTCAAAATAGTCAACAGGGTCGCAAGAAGCATGTGGAAAAACCAAGGCGCAAAATAACTGCCCAAGAACGGAGAAAAGTCAAGCATGCAGCTGCCAAGATGCCACTTGCCACCAGTTTTGCCATATTTCAGAGCTGCAACATCACTGGAGTGCCAAAAAGCACAAGGTGTGCAATACTCAGAGACATGGCCAAGGTAAGAAAGGCTGAAAAACGACCACCACTGAACAAGACACTCAAGCTGAAACATCTAGACTGGGCCAAGAAATATCTCAAGACTGATTTTTCTAAGGTTTTATGGACTGATGAAATGAGAGTGAGTCTTGATGGGCCAGATGGATGGGCCCGTGGCTGGATCGGTAAAGGGCAGAGAGCTCCAGTCCGACTCAGACGCCAGCAAGGTGGAGGTGGGGTACTGGTATGGGCTGGTATCATCAAAGATGAGCTTGTGGGGCCTTTTCGGGTTGAGGATGGAGTCAAGCTCAACTCCCAGTCCTACTGCCAGTTTCTGGAAGACACCTTCTTCAAGCAGTGGTACAGGAAGAAGTCGGCATCCTTCAAGAAAAACATGATTTTCATGCAGGACAATGCTCCATCACACGTATCCAAGTACTCCACAGCGTGGCTGGCAAGAAAGGGTCTAGAAGAAGAAAAAATAATAACATGGCCTCCTTGTTCACCTGATCTGAACCCCATAGGGAACCTGTGGTCCCTCATCAAATGTCAGATTTACAAGGAGGGAAAACAGTACACCTCTCTGAACCATGTCTGGGAGGCTGGGGTTGCTGCTGCACACAATGTTGATCGTGAACAGATCAAAACACTGACAGAATCCATGGATGGCAGGCTTTTGAGTGTCCTTGCAAAGAAAGGTGGCTATATTGGTCACTGATTTGTATTTGTTTTGTTTTTGAATGTCAGAAATGTATATTTGTGATTGTTGAGCTGTTATATTGGTTTCCCTGGTGAAAATAAATAATTGAAATGGGTATATATTTGTTTTTTCTTAAGTTGCCTAATAATTATGCACAGTAATAGTCACCGGCACACACAGATATCCTCCTAAAATAGCTAAAACTAAAAAAGCCCTGCTCCAACTTCCAAAAATATTCAGCTTTGATATTAATGAGTGTTTTGGGTTAATTAAGAGCATGGTTGTTGTTCATCAATAATAAAATTAATCCTCAAAAATAAAACTTGCCTAATATTTCTCCACTCCCTGTATGTCAGAGTGAGATTTGAAAACCTCCAGCAAAAATTAACAATTGAACTTCATCCATCTACTATCTATACACCGCTTAATCCTCATTAGGGTCGTGGGGGGGCTGGAGCCTATCCCAGCCAACTTAGGGTGAAGGCAGGGGACACCCTGGACAGGTCACCAGTCTATCACAGGGCCACACTTAGAGACAGACAACCAAGCACACTCACATTCACACCTACGGACAATTTAGAATCACCAATTAACCTCAACATGTTTTTGGACTGTGTGGGAGGAAGCCGGAGAACCCGGAGAGAACCCACGCTGCACGGGGAGAACATGCAAACTCCACGCAGAAAGATTCCGGTGCCCCCAACGGGACGCAAACCGGCAACCTTCTAGCTGCGAGGCAACAGTGCTACCAACTGCACCACCCTGCAGCCCCGATTGTACTTAGTGTCATCTGAAAAGTATGTACCTGAATAACCTTATAGCAATGACTCATGAAACACTGATGTTATTGAAGTACTACGTCTATTTTAGTCATAGTAGCACCGAGTGGCCGCTTCATTGAATGTATCATGATAATAACCTTTAAAAAATGATGTCCGCTGTGTTTATTTAAACAGATATGACCTGTTCCCAGAACATGGACCTCGCAGTTGGAAGAAGTTGAGTTCTTCTCCCTCACTTGTTTTTGTACCTGGGCACTTTTTAAAATGTAGCTTTTTCTGTGCCTTTGGTCTTCTGATGACACGGAAACACGGTTTTTAAGTTACTGAAAACTGACTTTTTACAGGAAACTTAGTCTGCAGTGTTTATGTGTGGACAGAGGGAAACGAGACTTTTGAAAGCAATGATGCAGAGACCTGTGTTTAATTTGGGATGCTGCAGTAAAACCAGGAAAGCAGTGTAGAAAATTACTTTCTAGAAAGAAAATTACTGGCCACATAATCAGAACAATGTCAAAGAGAAGTGACAACCAAACATTAGATCCCACACAAATAATGTGCATGTAGAGGAAAGAAAACAATACAAAGTGAACTTGTCACACATGATTTCACATTATCCTTTCAATAATATAACTGTCACAATTTAGGAACTTTTTTTTGGTCTTTTTATCATTATAAATGTCCTCATTGAGTTTCTTTAACATGTATTTTGAGTCGTCAGAATTAGTTATAACTATATAACCACAAAACATGCTTAATGTCCTGAATGTTACCAAACTTCCCCTCTAAAAGACTTCACAATCGTGACACTTAAAACTTGTGCTTAAAAAAAAAAACCCATAAAAAATACAGTGCAAAGCCAACCCATATATCACATAATAAATGGTCGATTGATTGATCAGTTTGATTCATTATGTGATTATTGAGAACCTAAAACTATTGTGTTACTGGTAAATATGAAGACAAGAATGGTTTGTTTTGAAAATATATATGTATGGAAGTCCCCAGCATAAAACATTTCATCATTCTCATATGAACTGATTTTGAGATTCATAGCTTTGGAAGTCCAAAATCTGTAATAGCTGATATACAGGCACTTAGGTTGACATACTGGTTACACTAGTAAACTAAAGCACCACAAAGCTGCCATGTAGCGCTCTGCTTGGTTTATATTGAGTATATACTGCACTCTAGTGGCTATATTGAGGGACTGTTAGCGGCACAGTATGTCGGTGGAATTAATTAGTTTAATCCTGCTGGTGACAGATGGAAAAATTAATTAAGTGTTCCTTGACTGATTGAATATCTTGATGTACATCCAGGTATAACACTTCTGGTCCTGTTGATTGCTGCTGCTGCTGCTGCTGCTGCTGCTGCTGCAGTAATAGATCCCAGTGCTGACAGTTATTAAAATCTTTACATTTTCTCCTGTCACACAATCCCGTCACAGGTGTGAACCTCCTGGCATGCTGTTGGTTCTCTCCGCCTGGCTGCCTGCAGCGGGACGTTTCAAATGAAGCACCTTATACACACCTCTGACTGTGAACAGGAGGGAAATGGCAGCAAAGTACGAGGCGTAGATAAGAAACTGAAACGACATGAGAGGATTATTTGCACTCAGGGTGATGACTTGTACATGATTGAATTCATTCATCCATTTTCTTTTTTGTCTCTCGTGGTCTGTCTGCATCTGTTTGTTCCCTGAAGGTATCGTTTTGTTCTTAGGCTTTTTTGTTATCAATACTCTTCCATTTATTTTATTGATTTATTCAAAGTCAGCTTATTTTCTTTTCATTTGTATTTATGTGTTGTTTACTCTGAAGGTCTTTATAACCTTAGTGGCGAAAACTTTCTATGAAATTCTGCTTGATTTTCTATTTAAATGTATAGTAAGATTTAAAGCATAACAATTTCAGTATCAAAATAAGTTCAACTAATCTCCTAAATGATTTTCATATTGTTTGTGTGTGCTGCAGCACCTGAGAGGTGATGGGGAGCTGTACAGACTTGGTGTTGATGACGATGGCAGTGAGGACACTCTGCAGGACTGTGCCCACAAAACTGTTTAGACCAAATACCAACGCATAGCGCCTCCTGTTCAGCTTCTTGGCTATCTGGAAACTGGGACAAACATTCATTCTGCACTTTAAAATGAAACACCAACACTCTGCGCAATAAACATTAACTCAATTATTAGTTAAACTAAGGGTTTATGTGAACAATTAAATATGGAATAGAGCTAAAGTAGAACAGGAGAAATAACTGATTAAAAAAAGAAGAGTCAAAACAATCTCATTTCTACCAACACTGAGAGTCTACAGTCACATTAGCAGCTCTGTGAGGTTGAGGTTCAAGCAGACTGAAGCTTTGACTTCATAGAATCATAATGTTACCCTGCTCTTGTTGCATGTGGATAGCTATTGGGTATTTTGGTCAAACATTTTTCCATCTCTCTATATATTAACCTTAGAGTTTCCTTGGTAGAATCACTTTCAGTTGATGTAATTGTTTGATTAAGAAAGGAGTTTGACTAAAGTGAGGAGTGCCTAATGAACAAAAATACAGACATTCAGAGAAAAAAAAAAGGCAAATAACTCTCTGAAGGATAATTGAAATTGCCATAATGTTAACGTGATCAGTGCTGAAAAAAACACTGAGAGGAAAAGGTTCAAATTAACTACAAAAGATTTACAAAGATTTAAGCTTGAAGCTGGATGTAACTGTTTGCCTCCATTTTTCAGAACTACAAACTGCCCGGAATCTACAAAAGCACGTATGCTCTCAGAGGTATTGTTGACGGGAAGAAGGGACTAAGCACACGACTCCCATTAGGGTTCAAACCACACACGGAAACAGCTAGACTGGGACAAAAAGTACCTAAAGACAGATTTTTCAAAGCTGTTATGGACAGATAAGAGGAGAGCTACTCCACGCAGCTGCTGGGGGAGGAGTACATGCTGCTATCATCAGCCATGAACTAGTTGGACCTTTCTGAGTGGCAGACGGACTCAAAATAGACTCAAAAACCTGTCAATTTCTGGAAGACACTTTCTTCAAGCAGTGGTACAAGAAGAAATATGCTGCACTGAGGAGTCTAAAATTGGGTGAGAACAAATTTTTTTAGATTCCGGTGCCCCCACCAGGACACGAACCTCGACCGTCTTGCTGCAAGACAACAGTGCTAACCAACTGCGCCACCTTGCAGCTCTTGATCAGACTAATAAATGACAAATAAATTGTACCTTCTGCAACTGTGTTTGACCTCAAGTTGGGTAACTATTTTGTTTATATCATGTACAGGCACAATTACATGTATGCAAGCATCTGTTTCACACTATCGCATTCATTTCCAGGTGGCAACATTAAAAAATATGCAGCAACTAGGATACTAATCCTTAAAAAATCCACTGCAAAGGAATGCATTCAACACAGAGCTCAAGGTCACACTCGGCCTGTTTTTGTGACTAACACTGAATGTGAAGATAACTTTTGTGTGTTTTTAAGAAAAGCTCAAACGGCATCTATGGGGTATTGCCAGTGTCGTTTATTTATTTCCTTTATTTGATCAGGTAAAGCACTAAGAACAGCTTCTCTTTTACATCCCTGACCCGGTCACCATGGCACAAAGCTGCTTCAGTTCAGTCTGCAATGAAACTGGAGGAATATCAAAGGATCATTGAAGCCATTAGAATCTCTTGCTTTAGGAAAATAAATGCTTTTAAAATCCATCCAGTACCTGTGGAGATATTTCAGTCTGGATTCCAGTGTCAGACCAACCAACTAACCAACAATTTCAAGCTAAAAATGATTTAATCTGAAGTCCATTGTTTCGTTCCAGATAGCTTAGACAAGACTCACTGATAAACCGCCTCGGGTAAACCACATTGTGTTACGATGTGATGTTCTGCTGGGAGACCTTGGGTGCTGGCAATTGTGTGGATGCTACTTTGGCACAGAACACCCACCTAAACCTGAATAAACGTTGTTGCAGAGCAAGCACACCTCTCCATGCCAACAGCGCTCCCTAAAGGCAGCAGCCTCCCCCAGCAGAACAACAGCCCTGCCACACCGCAAAAACTGCTCAGGATCAACTCGAGGAACACGACAAAGGGTTCAGGGTGTTTATCCAGCTTTCAAAACCCCCCAGAGGTCCTATAGGATCAACTGTGTGTGTCACTGCTGGACGCACCCAGAGGTGCCTTGTACATTGTCAGCGCTGTTGTGGCAACACAAGGACGACATACACAATATAAGGCAGGCGGTGTGTGTCTGACTGTAGCGATGAAATAAAGTAAAACAATCAGAATGATTCCTTAAACTTTGGCAATGCTGGATGTAACTCCTGGGTGGAAAAATTACAGCAATAAGTGCAGCTGGAACCTAAATTATCCAAGAAAATCTAAATAAAAAGCTTGACCAACCTGCTCAAAGAATCAGTGCAGCAGATCTGTAATCAGCTGTGTTATGACACATTAAATACCCTGAATTTATCACAGATCTATTATGTACTACAAGAGCCATTTTTTTGAGTATGCACAGCTGTGGTATCATATAATTTTTACATTGTAGATTCATGCACAAGTCCTCACTATATACACATTAATTGAATTTTTTTTTTTACGTTACTAAACAGTGGCTCCATTTGCAAGCATTTGGCAGCCAACATATCCATAATGTAATCTTACGTGCAGATGGTGGTGAGCGGCATGTAAATTGTTTTGAAGAGGAAGAAGAATGTGTAGCTGATCCAGATGTTGTCAGTTAGATCCATCAGGAATAAAGCCCCAGCGATCAGGACCGTGAAGCCCCCCAGGACCAGCTCTCCCCACACAGACCACTCCAGAGACACGTGGCCCACAGCAACACTGGCTGCAGCTCCTAAACGAGAACATCATCATTCTTACAGTGGGACAGTCAGCTCAGGGATTTTCTCCTTTAATGTAGGTCCATTGTGGGGAAATTAATGCAAACACAGGGGGGAAAAAAATCTCCCTGTCCCTGAATTTCCAAAAGGAAAGGAAATAAAACTACACACCATGTAGTAAAGAAAATGAACAGAAATGTGCTAGCATGTCTGTCTGTGCAGGGGCCACACTCATGCTCTAGTTAGGGCTTTGCTCTGATTTCAAAAGGTTCTGAAAAAATGCCACTGTTTTCTGTCATCCATGTTACATGTCCAGATTCTTTTTTTTTTTTTTTTTTGGTCAAACAGCAAGGATTAGGACTGTAAAGTGAAATCAAACACATTTAGAGCCAAATAATCTTGACAGAAACCGGCTCAAAGATGGTATGGAAAGTATCAGCAATGTGAAACAGCACTGGTAATGGACACAACATGTATTTAGGGAAACAGACAACAGATAAATGCATGTGGTGTGTATTAATTTATCTACAGAAATGGGAAACAAAAGTCTCATAGTCAGATTTACATAGAATGCATTGTGCATTTCTTTTTTTTTCCTGATCCTGACCAAAGAAAAATAAAATCCTTCAGCAGCTAGAAGTCTGAGCTGGTAATAATAATTTGGTAAAGTGATGTTTCTCATTTCAGCCACAGGGTGGCACAGTGCAGCCCTGATACACAACAGAGCTCTTTTACCACATATGAGGCCATCTATGAGACCTTTATCCCTGTGGGTGGAAGTGAATTTGGGGACTTCAGACACTAAATCTTTGAAGCATTGATTGTTCTAGGTCTCCGTCTTTTATCCTCTGACATTCTCGCTGGTTTTGACCCTTGCTTTCTCCCTCTCCCATTAATTTAAGTTGTTTGCTACAAACCCCCCACATGTTTCTCATGGCTACGGCAGTCTTGTCAGACCTAGCTCCTAATTGCTTAAAGGTAACTACAAACTAAACCTGAGTCACAATCAGTGAGGCGAGTGTAAATACGGACTCCCTGATTCCCTGGAGACACGGATCCATTCACTCAGAGCTCTTTATCTACTGAAATATAAACAGAGGCTGTGTGTTTCTTTTGATTCCTGGTCCATGCTTGGTCAATCAGTGCTAATAGTCCCACATAAACACCGCCCAGGCCAGTCAGTGTATCTAAGATGGACTTAATCAATCCCCCTGGCTCTGATTTGCAGGCTGGGGTCAAATGGAGACAGAATAATTAGACCAGTTTCCAGAGCAGTGTCAATTGGAAGCTTAGCGGGGTCAGCAGGAGCTGGTTGTACAGCTTCATAGAGAGAGATCAATAATACAGCAGGAGTCTACAGTATGCGCACACTGCAGGAGTTCATGTTTAATACCAAACTGATGAGGATATCTCAATTTAATTGGACATCTGTATTTATTTTATAATATAAACCATGCTATCAGACAGCATAAAGGGAACTTAAAGACAACTTGACTGTAGGCAGGGTAGCCATAATAAGCTATTTGTTTTGAGAAGTATGTCTTGGACAAAACGTAACGGCTCCCTGGAATATGTTGTTATACTACTGCATGGTCAAGGTTAGGAAAAGATTGTGCTTATGTCATATAAGTTAGGTTCAGGTTTGGTAATTACAGCTCTTGGTTAGGAGGAGGTCATAATTACAGTTGATAAAAATGCATGTAGTCTGTATGATGATGTGTCAATTGGTCTGTGAAGAGAGGTGCTGCAATCTCCTCACCATTACTCTCCACCTCACTGCATACAGGTCTCACTACTATATGCAGTGGTTTTGAAGAAAGGTACTGAACTTATACCGAACAACCCCAACATTAAATCCACTGACTGGTGAAGTAAATACCCCTGATTATCTTGTTGGAAAGTTCTGCTGGGAAATCTTGGCTTCTGGCATTCATGTTACTGTGACACGTACCACCCTAAATATTGTTGTAGAGCAATCCCACACCTCCATGACAGCAGTACTCCCAGACATCCTCCCCCTGCAGGACAATTCTCCTTGCCACACCACCAAAACTGGCCAAGAGCTGCTCGAGCAAAATGACAAGGAGCCTAAGGGTTTGAGCCGGCCTCCAGATTCCCCAGATCCTAATCTGGTCAAGCATCAGCAGGATGCACCATGACTAAGCTGAACCACAGATGCCTCGCCCCTCAACCCACAGGACCCAAAGGATCTGCTGTCAACATCGCAGTACCAGACACCAGAGGACGCCCCAGGGGTCCTGTGTCGGATGGGTCCAAAATGTCTTAGCAGTACCTGGGGGACCTGTACAGTATTGGGCAGTTTTAATACTGTGGCTGATCACTGTAAACAACAAAGCAGAATTTGACATTAATCTGCTTTGAATCACAAATGAAATGAACAGTAAACATGTTGTAACTTTGCATATATTTGGAGGTAAAAACCTATTCTCTGTTTACTCTTTAATAGCTGTTGCGATCTCTTGTTTACTTGTTTCCAATGCAGTCTGGTGACAAATGCTGTGTCTCACACGTTTGATTAAAGGGGTGCTTGAGTGATCGAACTGTCACACACTCGAGAGAAACATATTAACAAGATTAAGTGTCCACAATCATGTGAGGCTGCACATGGCAGTAGTTTGAGCTAAATGCTAACGGCAGGATGCTAACACACTTCAAATGACAATGCTGACATAATGATATTTAACATATACAATACTAGCAATAGCCAGGTAAATCTTCCTGGATTTCGTAGTATATAGGACTTGATGTCTGTTGTGACATTCCCGAGCTGGCACACCCATAGCGATGCATTCAGTCAGCAATGATTGGTTTGCAGAACTAAAGAGGGTAGCAACTGCATCGACAAAGATGGAGTGGGATATAGTAACCATGGGTTCTTTTCATTACGCTAACTTATAATAATAATAATAATAATAATAATAATTCATTTTATTTGTGTAGCGCTTTTCAAGAACTCAAAGACGCTTCACAGGATAAAAGCAAAAAAGAAATAAAAGCAATAAACAATAAGCAACAAATACAAAGGCAGACAATATAGAAATACAGCAAGCAGAGAAAAAAACAAAAAAAACAGTGAATATCAAGATAAAGCCTAGGCCTAGGTGGGAAAAGCAGAGCAGAACAGATGAGTTTTTAATTTAGATTTGAATATTACTGGGTCTGAGGTGTCTCGATTATGTTGTGGGAGAGAGTTCCAGTTATGCTTCCTTGTGTCCTCTCTTCTTCCATGACCCCAGAAATCCTTCCCCCTCCACCATCATGAAGCCCCTGTTTCACATATTATCAGCCCCTCAAATGGCCCATATGTATGGGAATGCTCAGTGATAACAATGGCCATTGAATGGGCTGATGACGTGTGGAACAGGTGCATTGAGGATCTTCCAATTGATTAAATACACCTCTAAAAGATGAGGCTTCTGGAGGAAGTCAGAGAGAAGAAACACATGGATATTGTAAGTCTTTTATCGAGTATAAATGCCACGTTGTGTATTGGTTTCACTTAACGTGATACAGCTCTGCAGCACGTCATAAAGAACTGCCATCGCTGAAGACTGACATGATGTAGTGAATAATTTGTCATTTTGCAGCTCCAGCAAGGAGACATGTTAGCATAATGGAAAGCACCTGAGGAATATGGTGATCCTATGATTGACAAACCAAGTAAACATTTATGAACAAAAGTTCTGTATTGCATGTTTTCAAATATTCAGGTAATTAACATTTTGACTTGTTGGACTTGAGAAACTGTCACTTGGAACAGGGAATATTTATGCAAAACTCTTTGCTAATAAATCAGATGGCTGTTGAGATATTTGGTCTGGACAGATTCAACGACAGACCAACATCACACTTTTGACTGGATCCTGTTTCCCATGATCTATAGCACTGTCCTTCGGCTTTCCCTGCTTTTTAAAAGTCCACGCTATTTGAACTCACATCAGTTTCACTGATAGATCCCTGGATTCTCTGTGATTGTTGTGAAATCCCAAACACAAGCTGCATGGAGATTGCAAAACGTACTAGTTTGTAATGAGTGGCACACAGAGGGAAGTGCTGTGACCTCGTGTTGACTTTTCACACTGATTAGATAACATTATACTGTATGCGCAATGTTTGCAGGGTAGCAAAATTTGAATTGCATCACACTGCATTCCAATGTGCGTAAATGGAGTTATATTCAGCAGTGGAAAGCCTTGACATGGAGAGAGAAATAACAGAAACTGTGTTGTGAATATATTACTCACTAACTTAAAACAGGTATTTGATATGTAAATGACTTGTAATTACCTCTTTAGACCTTAGATAAATAGATGGGTCAAGGCAAGACCTTCTCCTTGACAATCATTCCATACAAAACAAACCTGACTCAGTTTGTTCTGCACACACTTTTCATTTTATCTTAATACCAATGAGCTACTAAAAAAATGTTGCCTTCAAACTCCAGGGCATACAGTTATTAATATGCTGAATATGAAAATAGTAAATTATGTTGTGCTTTTGCTCCATATTTTATCATGTTGGTAATCCATATTCATATTTTCCCTATCGGTTTCCACCAGGTTTTTTCCTCAGGGATGTTTTCTAAGAGTGGAATAGAGAAAAATACAACAGGAATCTTTGGGGAAATATCAGACATAGGCCCTACAGCTTGACTGCATGTTGGGCGGAAACATTTACAAGTGAAAGGCATACAGCTGGATGTGGTTTACACAGAGTAATTGCCTTTGGTTTCTGGGGAATACAGAAATGTATCAGTACTATAATCAATAAAAGTGCAGTGGCTGGATGGTAGCAGCTGCTATACCCATATGGGGATGAGCGTAGGCAATTAAATAGTCTAATTAATGCTGCTTCTATTGTCTCCTGTGCTTTGGGGGTTGTGAAATACTGATAGTAGAAAGGATTGTGTTTTCTTTCTTTGTTTATATATATTTTTGGAGTGGATGGAATGTATATAACACCCAAGAGCTTTATTGAAAATGTATAGACCTTTTCTCACAAGAACCTGGACAACTTCTGTTTAAAATGCATGCGCAGTGGTTGTGTCTATTGTTGTATGGCACAGTGTTGCTACTTTCGGCATCCGAATAATTACTCCACCACTTACGCTCTCACGTCTGCTGGTGAAACGTCTTTATCAAACCTTATGTCTGTTGCATTGTCTCCTTCTGGAGATTTGTCTCCCTATAACTCGCAGCAATTATTGCCGTCAGCACTGGCAGATGTTTCTTTTTGTGGGGACAAACTTATAATGGCCTCTAATGTGTTTGCTTCATATTCATATTTATGTGAGATATGAATCTTGTGGCTCGTGGACTGACAATAAAGGAGCATTGTCCCTATAGTTTGCCCTTTAGACAGCGTTTTTCCCTAGAAAGTGCAGTTTTATCAGAGTATTGTTGCTTAAAAGGAGTCCCTGCCTTAAAGCTAAAGTCAGGGGGGAAAAAAACAGTCTTTCTTCTCAGTAAACACAAGGGATTGCACAAAAAAATGTAATGTGATTCACTGCAGTCTGATTCTAGGAATTGTGGTCTGATATATACATGTGAGTGTTTTCAGGTAAGTCTACAGTAAATGCCCTTGTTGGGAATTTGCTGAGATGATGTGAAGATGCAGTAATGACTGCATGTAATGTCAACGATAATCATTGTGTGATTCATAGAAAATCTCCTGATTCTCAAGTTACCCTTGGCCTCATAGTGTAACTTCAGCTGTTGTTGTTGTTGTTGTAGGTTTCCTGTTTTTAGTTCACTCTCACTGCTTAATCATAGCAAATTTTAGCCTTAGCCAAAAAATAGTTTGGATTATAAACCCATTGTACTCTACTTGCCCAGAAAAAACCAACAGCACTCAGACAAATTCAGTGACTAGTTCATAAAGTAGTGGAGATTTTAGCAGCTACACACCCTGTTGTTTCCACTGTGAAGCAAACATGGATGTACCTTAAACATACATTGTTTCAGCCTGCAGGGGGCGACTCCTCTGGCTGCAAAAAGAAGTTTGATTATATAGAAATTTTCAAGTTCTCACCTGATTTATTTCTTCAGTAAATATTTTCCTAAAGAGTTTATGGTCTCAGTTCATAGTTTGACATCTGCTTCAATAGAGCTTGATGTTTATTTTGTAAATTATGCTCCCATTTACAGTTGAATAGATAAGAAAATTGGATATGTTTCAGGGTGTGGTTACCTTGTGATTTACAGGTTGCTACCGCATGCACCGTTCACTCATTACGTCTAGTGTCAAAAGAGAAAAATGGTGCACAAACCAGTGGGTGATTTGACAGTTGCCATGTCAATCTTTTATTCAATCTGTTAGTCACTGCTCCCAAGTCGCCAAAATCACTTAATTGAACATCAAGTATCAGATGTTCCATTTTCAACTTTTGAACTTTTGTGTTGAATTTTTAAATACTTTGGACAATAAAAACTCATTTCAAATGTATGACACAACTCACTATCTGTGCATATAATATTAAGGCTTTTAATCTAGAAGAAAGTTAAATTGTATTATGTTGATGATATTATGTCTTAATTCACAAGCTGTATTTAAAGATCTGTATGCAATGCTAATCCAATACACTTGTTTTTTTAAAATATATATTTAGTGAGCATCTTCTCATGGCCTGCAAGCTGTCTGTTCTGTGTTGGTGCTCATACACATCCCTAGCTCTGTAAAACTGAAAAAAATGGCTCTGACCATTCCACACACAACACTGTAAAAACATGTCCTGTACACTTTTGTGCAAGTGCAGGAGGAAAGGAAGGGTGAGAGGAGAAGGGGGATGCAAAGGCGAAGAAACTGTGAAAAAAAAAACAAAGCAGTTGTAACTTAGTTCACCTGACAACGTGCTGATGGCATCCACACCTCCGTTGTAGGCTGTGAAGTTATTGGGCTGTATATGTACCCAGAGGACCTGGACATAGCTTGTCACCTGGTAGAAGCCGCACCTCCCTGTAGCTGCCCATATGCAGAAAAAGAGCACAGCTGCAGAAGAATAACATTTCTTACAGTCCAGTGTAAGCGTTCTGAACGTCCTTCCAACGTGCTTGGCAGCCGCTACACTCTTCACCCAAATGGAAAAGTCAGCTTCTGAATTGGTACCATCCACACATGACTTTGTCTGGTCTGCAGAATATTCTTCATTGGAAAATAACCCAGTCTTAGGCATGGGAAGGAAAAATGAGGTCATCAGCGCTATGGAGACAGAGATGAGGGTCACAAATGCTAACCAATACAAGGACACCCCATCCAAAGACACCAACAGTTGAGCCAGCGAGGCCCCTGCAGCATATCCCAGTAATATGGCCGCTCTGACATAACCGGTGACCCTCTGATAGTAGCTGGGCGGCACCACGCTGTAAATGTAGGAGAAATAGGCCACATCTGCTGCCATGGCGATGCTGTAGCTGAAAAAGGCCAGCTGAGCCGAGCGGACCCCCGAGCCAACTAGGATCAGCAGAAATGCCGTGACATAGGTGAGGCCCTGCAAGACGATAACAGGCTTGTATCTGAGGAAGTCTGTGACCAGGAGGACGGGGACGAGGAGAACCAGGCTGGAGTAAGTCCACACAGGAATCACTTGTCTAGTCACCTGGATACGGATGAAGGGAGATGGAGACCTCATTATTTTTCAAAACCGATCTGCTGAGTGTATCTGTGAGACATCATGCAGTCTCATTTCTATTCACTGTCAAAGAAAAATTACTTCTGCATGTACATGGCGGAAAAGGAAGCAGCGTGAATAAGAAGCACAACTTGATAAATTTGAATATTATGCAAATCAACAGACTTGCTTCATCTCGAAATCCACATCCATTTATGCTAAATACCGTTCTTAAGCTGTTGTCGTTAAGTTCTTTTTCGTGTTCTGCTTTGGCCTACAACCTGCATCTGCATGTGGACGGCAGCAGCAAGTTGTCAGTGTTCTAAATGTGTAGCATTGTTGGCAGTCCTCTGAAATATCTGAGTTCTTGGCTTCAGCTTAAAGTTGTATTATTAAAGGTTTTCATAAAAATAAAGCATGCTTTTGAGTTTTGTTGTTGTACATACGCTGTATTTACATTCATTAATGTAGTTTTTATTGGTCGCGGTGGAGCCATTCCTGCTCTGGACTCAGAATTACTGCCACAACACAATAGAAGTACAGAAAACAGTACACACATGTTATCCAAAACATGTTTTTGTCTGACTTTAATGCAAACTGAACATCTACTGCTGCCAAAGGAAAACACCATCTGTGTTGCCTTATCAATTGATAACAAGCTCATTTTCAATTAGCACAGACTTGGAGCACCAGTGTATGCACATACCTGAATATTTGTTACAATGAAAGTCGAGAATACAGCTGAAATTTTGGCACCTGTTTCTGATTTAGTTTTAGTCTTTTTTGTTATTAAAAAAAAAAAAAAAAAAAAGTGTTTTCGTAAAATTTGAGTCATTTAATCTTCAGTCAACCAAAACTAACAATCATCTAATTTGTTTTTCACAGTAATGTTTAGTCTCATTTTCATTTCACATTTACTTCGCAGCACTTTGAGGCCACAGTTGTCGTCAACTTTGCGTGGGTTACCATGGTTACAGGTGCCATTATGGTCTATGGCAAGTTTAATGGAAAAGGCTCAGTGTCAGTGTCAGTCTGCTCTGCACTGACACAATAGACAGACTCTCCTCAGTAAATCAAGTTATTATGTCGAACTCTGAACTGCTCTCGGTGCTCACCTATCTCCATGCTCTCTCCACTGAAGAGCAGCAGCTCATTCAGTAGATGATTCCCTCGCTTGTTCACTAAAGTCCTCTTTACTGTCTCGGTTTAACTTGAGAAGAGTTGCTAAATGGTTTCCGGCATGATCCAACGTTATTTTCTTTAGTGAACGTCCATCATTAATCCTGAACTCAGTCCTCCTGTCAGCAACATTAATGATATCTGACTGAAAGTAACGTTAAAGTTAAATCCACATGACCTGTGGTACATTCAGCAGTGTCAGATTAATGTCAGATTACCTTTTTATAACAATTCACTGATGCCTGCATATTCAAAATCAGTCACAGCTGCTTTTTGATGCTTCTTGTTGTAATTTGTAGATGAGTTAGATCATAAATCATAAAAGTTTCTTTGAAGAACTACCCCATCACATTATCGCCTGACATGTTTTATTACTGAAGAGCAATACAACTGATCAAACTGATAAATCTACTGAACAAGACACATTTTGGGCAGAGGAGAATGATCAGGAGCTGTAGTGTGCAATGCCACAGAACCTGCAATCTCCTGTGATTAGTTCATTTGTCCATCTTGAATGTTATTAATTTTGTTGATGAAAATGCTAAAAGATCTTGTCATAAATAATGTCTTGAAACACTACTTTCATTTAAACTTAGTTTTGTTTTGGCCATGAATAACAGGTAGCCAACAATTATTTTTTGTCATAGTTTTTGTTGACAAAAGTAATGCTGCAGGCATAGAACAGTACACTGAAACCGAGATGCATCTGTAGAAGCTGAACACGTTTGAATATGAACTAAAAATGTAAAACTATGAGACAAACCAGAAAGCAATAACAAAAAGAGAGAAATTTCAATGTAGCTTTGGAAATCTGTGCGTCTAAGAGACAGCTACAACTAAAGTCTGTGCAGTTGAGATGCTGCATTTTTGTAGGGAATAAACTTACAAAGACACCCCAGCAGTGATTAGTCATAAAAAAGCAAGACAAAAAATGCTAATCGTGTTCTGTCTAAATGCACCTAAAAAGAAAAGCAGGGTAATAGTCTGCCCTGAACTACATAATTCTAAAAGTCACTCTAGTATTAAATGCACTTTGTTATTATATGTTTTGAACAGGAAATTCAATTTGCGCCATGTGAACTTTCTTTACAAGCTGTATTTATCTAAATTATCTCAAAAGCCACTTGGGACCATAAGTTTTAAAGGTAATTTGCATCACACATGGTTGAGCACCAAATGAGTGCACCTTGAGTGTAGCTGCTATAATTTGTGTGAACAATGCAGATCTCATTCTGCCTCGTGCATCACAAAGTGATTGTCATTGAAGAGGTGTGAAGGACCCCATTTTCTTCTTAATGCCACCAGTGAGGCATGGTACTGTAAAGGCTCTGCTGTTCCCCTCAGTCTGCACCAAACTTTGTCATGTAGGCCAAACATGACAGGTCTGCTGATGTCTAATTCATGCTTACATCACTTTGCTGCAGTTGTGCATGAATCTTTCATGTATCAAGAGACAATAACATGTTGGTTAATAATGAAAGGAAGCAATGAATATTACAATGTGGATCCTTCCTCTAACATAAATGATTTATACATCATCGGACTATTAAACAGCTAATCTAATAGATGCAAGTGTTTTACACATTTGCCCTTTGGCTAAAAGTAAGGCAACGCTTACATTAAGCAAAAGGCTATATTTTAACAACATTTCAAACTACTATGAAATTTGACTTCTATTTTCTCGGTTGCCTGAGGAGGGATTCTAATTATCGCCTTCGGCATCATCATTAGGTCATCTTGGCCCAAGATAAGAGCTGCGTCCTAATTCCACTTCATCTGCAATAGTATGATATGCAAAACAGTGTACATTGTGTTGGCATCGAGTAAACCAGAAATGAATGTACTTTGCCATGTTGCACTTGTAGTGATGTAATACATTTGTCATTGATTCAAGAAGTGACTTGAAAATGATAATGCTACTTCTAATGTTGTAAAAATAAATGGCGCTTAAAGATAAGGATGCAATACATTTTTCTGAGATGTTCTAAAAGTCATCTCATCACCATTATTCATGTTAGTAGTACCTTCATTCTTAATGTACAAGTTTTCTTTTTTTTTTTTAATGAAATATGTATAGCAACAGAACACCTAAAAGCAAACAGAGAATTCTTCGTTTTGTTTCTTTGTCCTTCAACACATGACATCCGAAAAAAATTTCCTGGGATATTCCATGTCCCCAGTGGATAAATCCTAATACTTCTGATCTTGTATTTTAAAGCCTTGATTATACTCCCTTGTGGATGTACACACGGACAGCTGTGAACACCACAGATAAGTAATTGTTGCTATTATGCTTCTTTTGTCGTCCACTTGGAGGACTCCATTATATACATGTCCAGTAGGTTGTGTCTTCATGTGCACTATTGACCTGTGTCGACTTGTGGATGCACAACGTTTCACTATTTCTAAACTTAACAGGCCAGTGTACAAGGGTCCATAAAGTTTGGTAAATTTTTGCCATCATCAAGGCCAGGACAGTCTGGAGTGTCTGCAGACGTCCAAGTTCAGCTCAGAATTTGAGTCCAAATGACAACTATGCTACAAGGGCAACAGTGCAGTATTAGAGCTAGTGTGTTTGCCATAGTGCATACATAGATACAACCTACTGTGAATAGAATCCTTCAACAATATAATGTATTAAAAACAACAACACTAGTGTCCACAGCAGTCTGCGCGTGTCTGCAAGGGAGTATAATGAAGGCTTTTAACACTGACCTTACTCTAAGCACCACTGTCAGGACCCAAGTGCCATTTTTAGGCCAACTATTCAGTGTTCAAATCCAGCAGTAGAAAAACCAGTCACATTTATTGTATGTTAGTTTGCTGGGTTCATGGAGTGTCGTTTCTGCCACTATTATATGATAATTTAGACATTTGCTTCCATGTTGTGCTTTTGATTTCAGTTTTTTTTTTCTCTCTCCTCCCACACGGCTCAAAAGAAGAAGAAAACAAAAAGCAGAAAAGCCTTTACTTGTGACAATGGAGGTTACATGTAAAAATCTTTTACACAGCGTTGCATGATTTACACTGATAGTTTATTATGTTAAACTGAAAGCTTAGCCACCACATGTGAAAATCAGTGTACTAATAAAAAAAGATCATAGTTTATAATGACACTGAAACATCCTCCATTATCTATACACCGCTTAATCCTCACTAGGGTCACGGGGAGCCCAGTTGACTTAGAGCGAAGGCTGGGGACACCCCGGACAGGTAACCAGTCTATCACAGGGCTACACTTAGAGACAGACAACCAAGCACACTCACATTCACACCTACGGACAATTTAGAATCACTAATTAACCTCAACATGTTTTTGGACCGTGTGGGAGGAAGCCGGAGAACCCGGAGAGAACCCACGCTGCACGGGGAGAACATGCAAACTCCACGCAGAAAGATCCCGGGTGTCCTCACTTTGCTCCACTTTGCAGCCCTATACTGAGACATATATATTTTACATTTATTTGATTTTTAAATCTCTGTCCTGGAATTTTGAAACATTTTACATTTAAATAAGTTTTGTTGTTCTAAGATTGCAATCAGATATATATGTGAAAATTTCAAATATTCATTGAAACTGAACATCCATTATTTTTTATTTATTTTCACACTGTATATGAAAAAAAACAAAAACAACAAAAAAAAACCTCTGAAAAGCTAAGTCCTCCATCACTGTACAGCAGTAGCATATTTAATTTCATAGCTCAGTACTTCACCTGCTCAGTGGTGAGATTCTTGTAAGTTCCCGTGAGAAACACTGTCACAAAGGGTTCTATGGGCCTCATCATGGAGCAGAAACCATAGATGCAGAGCAGCACAGTGGGGCCCACCCATCCAGCATGCCAGGGCACATAATGGCCTGCCCAGCAAGGCCTGTTGCCACACTCTCCGCTCCAGCAGAAGCCCATCGTTCCTCTCCTGCTCCCCAGGGACGTCTGGCTGCATCCGGAGAGAGCACAGTCTAATTTGGGCAGTTTAATCTGTTGAGATATAGAAGCCCCAGATAAGGCCAAGGTGAGACTGACTGTGAACACCAAGTCACCTGCTTTGCCATTGTTGTTGCTCTCCTCTGAAGTTTTCCTGGCTACGGCGAGACAGGAAAAAATGTGAGGCTGTGAGTGAAGATACATTAAGATGAAATATGAGTTGGTGAACCCCTGGGGCTCCTGCAGGTTATAATAAATACTGTCTCCTATTCTGTCTTTATACAAAAACACCCTCATTCCTGCAGATATTGTGGAAAGGGGTGGAAGTCAAGCAGAGGAATATGTATGAGTTTGTGTGTGTGTGTGTGTGTGTGTGTGTGTGTGTGTGTGTGTGTGCATCATTACAGAGTCTGTACATACTGTGCACCTGTTTAACTTCTGCCACCATTATCCAACGGGGTCCAAAACAAGGTATCAAGGCTTCAACATCAAAGCAATAATCAACATAAAGTACAATTTCTTTGCTGTCCAACTACATATATTTTTCCTCATTTGCACTAAATATATATATTTTTTAAAAACTACTGGACACATCCACAAAATCACTCTAAAATACACACGTGGACTAAATTGTTGGTACCCCTCGGTTAATGAAAGAAAAACCCACAATGGTCACAGAAATAACTTGAATCTGACAAAAGCAAGAATAAATAAAAATTCTATAAAAAATTACCAATGAAACTCAGACATTACTTTTGAACAGGGGTTTAACAGAATTATTTAAAAAAAAAAAAAACTCATGAAACAGGCCTGGACAAAAATGACAGTTCCCTTAACTTAATATTTTGTTGCACAACCTTTAGAGGTCATCATTGCAATCAAACCATTTCTGTAACTGTCAATGAGACTTGTGCACCTCTCAGCAGGCATGTTGGTCCACTCCTCATGAGCAGACTGCTCCACTTGTCTCAGGGTTGAACGGTGCCTTCTCCAGACGGCATGTTTCAGCTCCTTCCACAGATGTTCAATAGGATTTAGATCAGGGCTCATAGAAGACCACTTCAGAACAGTTCAGTGTTTTCCTCTGAGCCATTCTTGAGTGTTTTTAGCTATGTCTGTTTTGGGTCATTATCCTGTTGCAAGACCATTGACCTGCGACTGAGACCAAGCTTTCTGACACTGGGCAGCACATTTCTCCCTAGAATACCTTGATAGTCTTGAGATTTCATTGTACCCTGCACAGATTCAAGACACCCTGTGCCAGATGCAGCAAAGCAGCCCCACAACATAACAGAGTCTCCTCCATGTTTCACAGTAGGGACACTGTTCTTTGCTTGATATGCTTCATTTTTGCATTTGTTAACATAGAGCTGATGTGCCTTGCCAAAAAGTTCCAGTTTTGTCTCATCTGTCCGTAGGACATCCTCCCAGAAGCTTTGTGGCTTGTCAACATGCAGTTTGACAAATTCCAGTCTGGCTTTTTTATGATTAGTTTTCAACAATGGTGTCCTCCTTGGTCGTCTCCCATGAAGTCAACTTTGGCTCAAACAATGACGAACGGTGCGACGATGTCTCTATGGTCACATTATTTTCAGTCTTTTCTAGGGGCACCATTATTTTTGTCCAGGCTTGTTTCATGAGTTTATTTATGTTTTTTAATAATTCTGTTGAACCACAGTTCAAAAGCAATGTCTGATTTTCATTGGTTAGTTTTCATTTAATTTTTATTTATTATTAATTTTGTCAGATTCAAGCTATTTCTGTGACCGTTGTGGGTTTTTCTTTCATAAAGTGAGGGGTACCAACAGTTTTGTCCATGTGTCTAAACTCACCCAAAATTCAGTTTTCCAAATCTGATCAGAGAATCTTAACATTCAGCATTTTGTCTTGTTACAAAGAACAAATCCCGAACTTTAAAGTCAGCTTTGGAGTCTACTGGGCAGCTTGGCTGTGAATACTTAATACTTAGGGAGCGAAATAAGCAAGGCAATCATTCCCGAGATGAGAATTACTGTAGTCTGTAATTTAAAATATCCAGCAGCGAATTATGACTCACCAGTGGGGTGTCAACAGAAAGCTCTGCCTCAGCTCAAACTGTCAGATTGCCTCCATGACTTAATTCTCAACATCAAGGTCACAGCAGAGAAAATATTATTCATATTCATATATTTCTAGTTTAATGTTATCGCATTTACAGAATATGCTGTTCGGTGACTACTGCTGGGGGGAAACATCGGAAAAAATTTGACCTCTAGAATGTCAAACTGAAATTATGGTCGAAAGGTTGTAATTGTCTTTTGTGCTGTTCTTGAGAGTAATGTTCTCTTTTGGGCTGTGATTATCAGCACATGCCGTAGAACCAATAAAAAGGTCAAATGGCCATCAATTTTCATGACTATGCTACATATCTGTGTCGCTGAAATATCTGAAATCAATAATTTACATACAGTAGACCTGTTAGTTAGATTTTGATGTAAATTGTAGCCTTGATTACCACACTTGTTAAGAGCCAGAGATAAATGTCATAGGAACATGGCCAGGGTGGATGGTCAAAAGAATGGGTGTAGGTTGCATTTAAATATTGAGGTGAGGGGACCCATAGAGTGGGCGTAAGCTTGAGCATCCAACACTTCATTTCTTGCATTCCGGTGATTTTTTTTGCACCGATTTGTGCCTTTTTTTTTTATCAATTTGTGATGGAACTTTATTTATGCCAAAGAAAACAGAAAAGTCAGGTACCGAGTGACAATTCAAATATAATGTAATGCACACGGTTTAGCACAACATACTCAGCTGGTGTGTGAGCTCATAATTCATATTTGAAAGTTAAAAAGACTGGGCACTTAAGAAAAAAGAGCGGTCCCTGTCTGTTGCACTTGTTAACAACATTATAGCATTTTTCCTAAATAAGACTTTCGCCTGTTGTCAGAATACTCTGGCTTCACTTACAGCATGTGCAGCCTGTGGTTGGGTTTTACTAAAAGCCAGAGATACTGTGTCTCATAGTTGTGGTGTTATAGTAACACTGACACGAGTGCAGTACAATTTGCCTGCCTAAATAATTACCAAAGATGGCATTAACACAACAGCGCAGCAAGATACAGAGCAAAGACCACCGATTCTTAACCCATCATCCTTCCTCTCTGAACTCATTATGCCGTGGATCATCCCTGACCTGCGGTCTTATCCCTAACAACTTACAGCAGACACAGACAGACCTCAGTCCCATTTTTGAGGAGCCGGCTCATTTTTTATTTTTTTTTCTCTGTAATTTTCTCCAGCTTGTGCTGGGACTGAGGGGATGATCAAAGGTATCTATCTTCCATTTCCCCTTCCTCTCCATCTGTAACTTCATGTTTAAAGATAGTGTTAGACAGTCTTATGATAGCTTGAACAGAGTGCAAACTGTGGGAGGCAAAGGCAGGTAAATGTCTGAAATTGCCTGTTGTGCACAGTAGGGCCAAATGGAGCACAGCACGGTGAAGGACATCTAAAGGCTAATGGCGTCATATTCCTGTGTGTCACTTGCACCTACTCTGAGAGAAACCTTTAGAATAGACCCTGTGGAATTTGATTTTGGGGTGCATGTGGACTAAGATGAACACTTTTTTTTTGAGTAAGCTCTAAAATGCCCTCGCTGACCCCCGTTGAGGTTAGCCTCACAAGTGCATCTTTCCAAAAAAGCCTCATCGCAACAGCACAGTGCAGAGAAAGAACACGTGTCCTCTACAAGAATTACTTTTTAAAATCTCATCTTAGTCAAAGGGAAATCTTTCGCTACTTATTTTGTTCTTAACAACATTTCACTCGGGTTATTCAATTTCCCGTCTATGCCCTCGCTTAATATTTCAATTAACCTATTTATCCTTTCTTCCTCATCGCTTCTGAATTGCAGCATCTGAAAAAGCGAGTGTTCAAAGGCAACCCAGATGCATTGATTCCTAACGCTTCACAGACCAAACCCTTCTTCCCACAATCTCCTTTTTTTTTTTTTCTTTGCTGGCAAATCATGTGAGGCTGCTGCAGTCAGGAGCTTGACTTTGAAACAGCGTGTGCGTATGTTTGGGGGGGTGGTTGTGGTGTATATTGAGGTGGTTGTGAGGCTCAGATAAGCATATGTGTGCAGCAGTTCGCTTGCAAAACAAAACTCCCACTGCGTCGAGTTGATAAGACGTGGAAGTCCGTTTTTTTTTTTGTTTTTTTTTACCATCTATTACGGCTGTCGTTGATTTCATTGGACAATGAGTTGCTCCTCATTATAAGGTGGCTCTGGCAAATTTCTGGTATAGACAATTAACATAAACAATGTAATCCAAAACCATTTATAGGCTTTTATTTTAACATTTACATATAGTAGTGTTTAATTTTGACAAGCCAATTCTGTTGCTGTATCAACAAAAACACAATAAATATGAAATAAATAAAGATTTTACTAAAAAATGGCACCTGCTTGTTTCCTTTGTGATAAACTGATCTAATTATGATTCCCATATTGCTATCATTTGAGAGAATATATAAACACCAGCATATGTCCCATCAAATATATCATAACTCCTGATGTAGTTAGTTCAGCACCAGGAGTGGACTGTTATAATAAAGTGAGCCCTTATTTAAGGTTACATTCCATTCCAATTACGGGATTGAACTGGCAAACCTTCAAATATTTACTGCCCCAACAGAAATCCCTAAGTGCATCCTATTGGGAGGATTGAGAACAGGGTGTTAAAACATCCTGTAATCATCCAGCTGAAGTTTTTAAGCACATCTCAGCTCAAGAGGCACTAAATTCTGGCCATAATGAGCCCAACACTAGATGGAGCTCTTGCTTCGTCACACCACCTGCAGCATCGCTCCTCATCTCAGTGATGCAGGGTGCTCGTGACACATTCCTGACAATTTTGACAGTCTCAGCCACATACTTGTGAAGCTGAGAAGAGCAGCTCATGATTGACACGCTGATGGACAGACAAACAGTGAAAAGC